CTTAAAAATGTCCCCTTCACGCGTCTGAGGTTGATAGCAACGATGAATTAAATAGCCCCTTGGTTAACATTGTGCAAGTTATACCTTAAGACACTCTTATCATATATATTCACATATTCCACGCTAATAACCTCTTGCAATTCATTCTGAGAAGGCGACACAACGTACTGATTTATTCTATTTCTGTAAAATCTTTTTCCAGAATAAACGTCTTTATTATTCTTGGAACATAGTAATTTCTTTCCTTATGCTTACATACTACATATAATAATTTTTATTATTATTCGTATCATTCCTTACAAGAGTATTCTTTTTCTTTATTCTTTTGTTAAAGAGTATATTTTCTACTATATTAACATTTGATATAATTGATATAGGTGATATTTTCTTTCAGCTCACCTAGTAGAAGATCTGATTACGAAGATGAGAAAATACTAACCGACAACTCCGTCTTGTATGACAGACTAGCCACTAATTACATCCACCGACTCTTTCATTGCTTTTGCTACCATTTATTTTCATTCTTGTCAAATCGGGAACTGTTATCGCAGTTCAAACGTATTGCGAGCAAATAAAAAATAGCAATTAATCTTAGCAAAGAGAGGGGGAAAAAGCATTTGGTGTGGGAATCGTCAGAATTGAGGTAGAAAAATGTATCGCCTTTCTTCATCGTCACGTACTACCCAACAATAAAAAAAAAATAGCACTTAATTTCGAAGCGCATTTTTATCACAAATATCCTCCACATTAATATAGTTATAAAGCATATTAACGAGTATTTAACATTATTTTTTTTGTATGCATATGCATCAAAGTTTTGCAAAGGTATTAGTCGTCAGTTCTCCTTTGAAAATGCTGATGATAAGTTTATTTCAATTGGATACAGCATTCGGGCTTATGTTATTAAAAATCTATAAAAGAGATTTTTATAGTCACAGAAATTTTTATTACATATGGCGGGAACAGATTCCTATAGAAGTAGACAGTAACAAATTCAAGCAATATTGAAAGAGAGAGAGGAAAAGTGATTTGAATATACGATTAAATTTAGCTCTTCTTTCATTTCTTATTAAAACCTTTGTTATTTATGCTTACAAAGCGGCATCTGAATAATTATTCTCATATTTGATTTCATCTGGAAGCCCAGTCCAACACAACTTTAATGACTCTTAAAAATATATTCATGGGGGTCCTTAAATTACTCGATTTAAAAACGAATACGTTAGCTTGTTTTTAATTAAATTTCCCCTATTTAGGCGCATTTTGTCTTCCGTAAAAGAAAATTAAATGTGAAAGAAAATCGTTTTTACTTTCTTAATCTTTCCAATACAATATCAGTTTTATGATCTTGCAGTTTTAATGATGTTAACAATATAAGAAAGTATTAGGAAGCAAACGCTGAAATATTAGTAAGCTAAGCTCTAATTATGTAATAAATAAAACACAGTTATACAGAAAAAAGAAAAAGAATAACATGAATGTTTTTCCTCACCGAGTCATTTTCCCCCTTCCTCGAGTCCAGTTAGTTAGTAAATTTTAGTTTATACTTTTTACGTAAAAGGCAATTACTATGTAAAACTACTGACTAAACAAATTATACTGAGAAATCATGCACTAAATTGTCTGAAAACTCAATTGCAGTCAACTCCCACTTAACCGAGGGCGAACTGAAAGGACCCTATCTAACAAAAATTGTTTATTGCGGAACGGGGGGAAATTTGCTATCACAAAAGATTAACGTAAAACACAACTGTCTATGAATAATGCAAAAACTAAAGGTTAGGTTAATTGATTAATGCAAAACAGCAGTTCGAAGGTTATCTGAAATCGAGGGGTGCCTTCGTGGAGGACTTTAGAAAAAACTGATACGTACGCCTGTTACATGGAGAAAACCATAAAAACTTCCATGTGTCCGCCGATTCGCCAGGATTCCACTTTGAGTCAAAATACTAGAGTTCAGTGGCTGGCTTTACCCTTCAGCCGGGCTTAAAGAAAAGTGTGTGGGATAATAATTAATGATAGCGGATAATATTTGAGCATTTGGGAATTGCTTTTATCCACAGCAGTTAGTAATTGTATTCAGTTTGGAATATGTAAACATGGTACAATAAAACAGGAAAAGTTCTAACCGACTATTTAACAAAATTTCGAGCTCAATGACATTGCTCAACGCCGCTTGCAAGTACTGTTCTGAATACATTTTTAACTTAGTTTCTTCCTTTTTAATGATGCGTCTTCTTTGGTTATTAATGGTGTTTTTTTTGTTTTTAATACTAATTTAATTTACGTAAATAAATTGATTTATTCTTCAGATTAAATTTCTCGAAGATAAGATAAATTGCTGTAAGGGTACACTTGGTCTTACACTGCTAATTTAGTCCTATAAACCTAACAGGCATAAAGTGAGTTATTGCTATGTGTGAGATAGTTTTACAAAGGTTTTTAAGCAACCATTTTCTTTAAACAGAACTTTGAACATAAGGACACGACATTGTGTTACAAATAGCCACATATTGTGGAAAGGCAAATTAAAATAAGAACAGGCAATTCAAATCAAATGTTGATCTGTAGTCTAAGACTGCCCAATTAAATCCTATAAGCTTGCTCAATAATTTACCGGGGCGTCAGATTAAAGTATTGGTGTCGAGGGAAGGCCGAGATAGTTACATTTATCTAGAGCTGGCAGAATATAATTACGTAGGGCGCATGCCAGAAACACTGTCTCTCAAAATTAAAAAAAACTCCAGATATCATAAAAATAACAGTTAGTTTAAAACAGGAACCTTACATTAGTAATAATATTTTTTCTGTGACTATAATAAGAGTAAAAATTTTTTCCTGTGTTTCTTCAACTATCCTCGGATTAACCATGATTATGAATTAATCAAGAACTTCTTGTTCAAATAATCATGGATATCATGAATCGTCTTCATAAAAATAATCGTAACATCGTTCCATTACCGACCCACGTAAATCAGACACTGAGTGTAAGGGCATATTTTATTGGAAAAGAGTTCTATTTTTTGAACTATGTAATGTGTTTAAAGTGAGTAATTTACATGATTTAATGCTGAAAAGAAATAAATAAATCATAATTCCAAATTTTCAAGTTTTAAAAACATGCCACATGATACTAATCTTTTATGCAACTCTTCAAGGAAATATTCAGTTTAAGCGATTATTCATTTGTGAAAAAAAATCACCTACTTATCTTACTGATCGAAAACAATGTCTATTGAAACATTACATATCTGCAAAAATTATTTTGTAACCCAGTAGGTGAATAAATTGAGAGTTTATGGAATTATCTAGATTTTATAACTCATTAAATTTTGGGAAATATGCTAATGACTCTGAAATTTATTTGTTAATGTAGCTTTTGTTAGGGAAAGTGCTTAGTGACCCTGATTGCCGTACTGAAAGGCCCGGGTTCGAATCTAGGAGAAGGCATGTATGTAATTTGTCCGTCCCTTCACAGGAGGCAACAGTGGCCAACCTATTAGGTACCTCCATAATAAAGAGAACACCGCTTCCGGATTTACTAGTGGCCAAAGCCTATAAACGGCTGGAGCCTGCCATTGGAAATAATAATAATAAAAAAAGCTTTTGTTAGCTTATTTATATTTCATCTAATGTCGCTAAATGTTTTATTTAATGTACTTATGTCATCTTAAAATAATATCACGTAACTGCATTTTCATTACACGGTTACATAAAGAAATCTCTGTTGTTACAAAGATGCTAGAGATGGCGCACTTTATATTACTGAAATGAATCATTCAACACATATTTGTGAAAGATTTCTATCATCCTTTCATAACTCGCTTTTCATTCAGGAAATGGCTTACAGCCAGCTTAATTTTATCATCACAAAAAAAAAAAAAAAAAAAAAAAAAAAAAAATATCCCGGTGTTTTATTCATTAGATGTACCACTTTGAAATCATTACATTTTAATCTTCTCTTGTCTGCTAGTACATATTTCCACCTTAGAACAGATATTAATCTCTTCATTATCTCAGTTTGCTCAATACTTAGAATTCGATAACGAAGACTTGAAATACGTAACACCTTCTTTTAATTTTAATCAGTAAGTTATTTTTATGTTGAATCTTTCTTACACTTCTAATGTTTTGGCTGCTCTACCAGAATATGTAATCGAAGTGAGTTTCAAATAGAAGCGAGAGTCAAACTTTAGGAGACAGGTTTTGAAGCATCAACAAGTCATGTGAAACTCCTCTACTATTGTTTGCTTTTAGCACTGTTGCTACCAGCCGATGAGTTTGACTGAAAATTAAGTTAGCAATCGTGAAAAATCGGAATCAGGTTGTTACACCTAATCTTTGAGTTGTGAATTTTTTGAATGTTCAGCCGTCATTCTTTGAATGTTGTCTGTTCAGCCGTCAGAAGCGGAAGTTACTTTTATGAATTGTTTTAGTTTTGTAATTTCTAGGTAAAGTTCAAATAAATCCTTCCTCTTTTTCTCATTGTGATACTTATTTAGTGTTCTCGTTCCTGAAAGATAATGATAGAACCATAATTCGTACCACAATCTGAGATAGACTACTAGTGCTTAGTTTATTTGCAGACTGATTTTATATCTTTACCTGAGTCGACTACATACTGCGGAAAAAGATCTTGTCATTAGCTGCTAGATTTAATAGATAGTTGTAAAAGATTAGAAAGAAATTCTCAGGAAATTAATAATGAATAATTATTATTGCTTACTGGAAACTCTCTCAGACTGCCAGTTAAATATTAGTATCGTTGCTCATTCTCGTAACTATTAAATCTGAAAAATATGTAAAATGCAAGGGATTGGATATTTAATTCCTAATCCCAGAAGCTTGGAACTCGCATAATAGGTATTGGTTGAAAAATGCCCTGACCCTTATAGAGTTTATGGTCTAGATGGTTAGCAAATTGCCCGGGGCAAAGAATTTTGAACAAGTAAAGGAAGATCATTTAAAAGCAGTTCAAAAAATGAGTCAAATAAACAAAATCAAAGGAAATAATTTTTTAAAATTTCTTACAATCTCTTTTACAATGTTTGGGTTGTATTTCTCTCTAAAGTTGATATCGCTGAAAATCTGTTATCTCCGGATCGTAAGCCTCTTCTCCATATATTGATGAGCTTTTCAATCATTCAAAACAGGATATATTCGTATTTTTTCTTTCGATGTTTTGCAAACAACAAATACAGAGTTACGTAGTCTGAGATCTTGAAGTTTCAAATAGCATTTTACGATAAAGAAACCACTGAAACAAAAGATATTCCATTATCATTCTACGTGATTCTGCCTATCAAACTATCGAATAGAAGTACCCAATCATCTAAATTATTGAAAACCATTCGAGGTCTATCTGCCTAAGGATATCTTTATACAGCACTTTTAATGAAATCTTGCTTAAATTCCTGTTACACATGGATAAGTCTATCGTGCAGGCAGCCGATTTGCAGGTATTTCAACCAGGTCGAACTACCAGCGTCCAGAGATGTTACTGTCCGGCCCTATTAAATGAAAATGTATCTTTCATAATTTCAAATTTAAAATGTAAATAGAATTCTAGATTAAGTTAATAATCAGTATCTGTTCATAGACTAATTCGATTTTTAAAAATTTTACCTACATATTAATATTTTCTCTTTAATTTAATCTGATGGTTTCAACTTGCTATTTCACCTAATTTTACCTACATATTATTATTTCCCCTTTAATTTCAACACGTAGGAAAACAGTCTGATGGTTTCAACTTGCTATTTCACCTAATTTATCGTTCGGTCTCGAATTGATCTTAATTTAATATTATAATATCTTAACTATATTATAATATTCTATTCTTCTTAATTAAATCAACTGATCAGTTAGCTCGATTTAAGGACTAAAAAATTCAAGTTCAGCACATAGAAACGAAATGGAAAGGAAAACTATTTTTACTATATTATCCGTAAACAGTTCTGATTTGAAGGCTGTTCGAGAATTTTATTGTTAAAAATATTACTTTAGCTACGAAGAAACCGTATTTGTAGATGCTAAACTATGAGGTACATTAAAAATGTATAAAAATTCACTGTTTCCTGGTTATAATTTCGATTTTTCGTCATAATTTAAAATATCCCCGCAAGTATATTTCTACAGTTTCATTAAATGTTTTATCCTATATTATCACAGAATGACTGTTTTATAAAATATTTTATGTCAATTATGTTTTAGCGTAGAAACATTAAGCAGATTATTATTTTACGCTTGTAAACTGCTAAAATAAAATAAAAAATATTGTGATTTTTTTAAAATGGTGAAATGTTCCCAAATTGATGACATTTTCATTTTAATTACAATTCTCGATATTTAGTTGAAAGAACTATGTGAAATCGAAATCTGGAATTTTTTTGAGTACTTCTTCTATGGCATAATATTATTTAAGAAGTTGCTACTCGAGTTTAGCAAGTTTGGCTTTTATTTAATTCTTTAAAATAAATGCCACACAGTGAGTCTTATGTGAAACATGTGTGTGATATGAAATTTTTAGAATTTCCGCAGAATGATTGTTAAAGTTTGTTTTCTCGAGTGTTTTTTGGCCTTAGAGCTCAGAACAAAGTTTTCAAAGATAAGCGAAGAATCTGTTCCTGGGTTTGAAATTATAAGGAAACATTTTAAAATGATGAACCAACAGAACAAATTTGTCAAAGACATATTATCATTCAAATTTAGTTTTATACAGTTTTCCAAAGGATTTCTAAAAATGACACGATTCAAAATATAGCATGCTCAATTAACTTGTTTCATTCTGAGGAGGTACATTTTTTTATTAAGACTGAATGTTAAGAAAGAAATAAAAGCACGTAACTAAGCTTCAGGTAGCGACTTTCTGAGAATAAACTTTAAAAAGTTTATAAAGGTTTAAAACAAAATACCAGGCAATTTTAGTCATAATTTCAAGCTCCAGTAACATGCTGTTGAAGTTTGGCCATATGCCATAACTAAATTTGTAAATTAGAAAAACAGTTAGTTTCAAGAACTTATCAGTTTATAGTATTTGAATAAACATAAATATTTGGAGGAAAGCATAATTTCTGTGTCCGTGGATGCCAGAAATAAAATGCAATAATTAATTAAAGTTACGATACGTTATAATATAATTTTAAACATCTCATGCAATTAAAAATGACCTGCCTTATTGCAGCATTTATGCGTTTTGAATATGGGTTAACTAATTATTTAGCGGATGACTTTATAATCGAAAAACCATTATACAAAGCTGTAGTTATTTAAGAGCCCAAATCGTAAAATTATAATTTTCAATTCATTGTTTCAAATATCGAACGAAAACCATCAGCTTTTTATAGGTTAGCGAAAACTTCTGTATGGTTAAAACTTAATAAAATTGTTTACTTTAAAAAAAATTGTTGATGTAGTGGTTGATGTTGAATACGAAATCACGCTCCTTTGATGTCTTTTTATATTTCGGGGACCATACATATATATATGCCTTGTTATCTCAGTTAAGAAAATGCAAACACTATAAGGAAGCAACGTCAATATCACGCTCTGCTTTTAATTTTATTCCCAGAATCTCAGAGAAGTGTTGATTCAGGTGACACTCATTCATTAATCTCACCTTCTTTTTCCCGTCAAACATCATTTGCCTTCCATTTACATCACTTACTTTTAAACTACATCTCTCACCATCAAGCTATATCATTCATCTTAAAGATCACTCACTTTTCTATGCTAATGGACTATTAGTGAAACACAGACGAACAGAAGGATCACCACCTTTTGTTGCTGCTAGTTAAATGTTTCCTTTATTAACTTTATTTCGATATTTGAAACAATGAACTGAAAATTATAATTTTACGATTTGAGCTCTTAAATAACTGCAGCTCTGTATAATGGTTTTTCGATTATAAAGTCATCCGCTAAATAATTGGTTAACCTATATTCAAAATGCATAAATGCTGCAATAAGGCAGGTCATTTTTAATTGCATGAGATGTTTAAAATTATATTATGACATACTGTAACTTTAATTAATTATTGCATTTTATTTCTGGCATCCACAGACACGGAAATTATGCTTTCCTCCAAATATTTATGTTTTGTTAACAAGTCATAACAAAATATTTAATTTGCATTAAAACATTCATTAGTTTCACCTTCTTTTTCAAGTCAATCATCATTTACTTTCCATTTAGATCACTCATTTTAAAAATATATCTTTTATCCTCAAACTCATCTTCAAGAATTTTATGCTGATGCACTGTTATTGAAACACAGACGAATTCAAGGATCATACTTTTTCTTGTTGGTAGTCAAATATTTTCTTTGATGATAGTTAAAACATTATAACAAAATATATAATTCGAAGTTTCTTAACAATTGTTTTTTAAATAGGAAGTAAGAAAAAAAATTGCATTCTAAATAGTATAATTACAGAGATACGACATAATTTGGCAGCTACCAAAAAAAGAAGCTTCTTTCCGGATAACGTATAATTTTTAATAACTATTCCAGGACGTTTCGTGGAATGTAAATTTAAAGACCAGGTAAAATGTGTCTAGAGTCTTGTAGAAAATTGCAGAAGGATGCTAATGGTTTTATTAAAATTCATTGATGGAGTGCTTCATATGCCATTCCGTCAATAAATTTTATACATCATTCGTTATAATTGGCAGTTTATTTCAGCTTATAGTAAATCCATAAGTTGCTTTGTAAAAATTAGCAAGTTAACTCCTCTATAATACTGCCGATGAATCTGCATTAATGGAGGTATCATCGATAGCCTCTGCTGTGCCCCATTACCAGCTTTGATTTAAATTTTGCAGAAATATTACATTTATGTTTGAAGTCTAGCAAAAGAATTATTCCCATTATTCGTAAGAGATTTTAATAAGTTGTTTATACAAGTAGGTTTTAAGATTTTTTTTTGTAAATTTCAATCTTTTAATTTTATTTATGTGTTTGTTAAATATTTGGTAATTTTTTATTAACAGTTCCTCAAAGTAATAATTTTAGTTTCAGTGTGAATCAACTGTGATAAGTATAGAGAGAGTAAAATACGTTATGGGAATATGGATTAAATTTGATAAATGCATTAAAACTATGACCATCAAAACTTAGGATTCCGTTTAGCCATCATCATTCCTAAATATTATTCGATATTTAGGAACATTTCTCTTCAACAGCCTTTTTTCATATTGAATTTCCCATTTAGCAGAAAATCCTCTGATATAACATGCAATTCTAACAGGCCTTCATTCTGAGCTTATTATATTATCTCTCATGTCTTGGGCATCACTTCTACCAAAAGGACTTCAATTATATTCATTTTCTGCTTTGAGAAGATCAAAGAATCTTTGCTATATAAAGCATTTACAGTTCCCTGGCATCAATGGAATGACGGCGAATTATTTCCGATATTAAAGTTAGGTTTCACTCTAATCGAATTAAATGAGCGAATTGACTAAGGTTATGCTGCTATCGAATTTCAAAAAGGTTTAAGTTTGACGTTGCCAATCTGGTATTTTAATTGAATTTATACTACTGGAATTTCAATTAGACGATATTTAACTTCAAAGTATAGATCAAATAGTTGGGAGGAGTACAAATTTCTCTAGTCATTGACAATTACGAATATAATGATCAGTATTACTTGATTCATTTTGTATTTTTATATATCACAAAATTTGAAACTGCTTTATTAGCTGAAAGTACGGGTTATTCGTTAATTTTAGTTCCTTACAGAGGTTTCAACATACAGATTATACCTCTGAATGTAGATGTGGCAATAATAATACAATACGTATGTCTAGCATTGTATCTTAAAGTTTTCTGTCCTTTCCTACAAATTAAGTAAATGATTCCAGACGCTGATTACATTAGAAAGTACAGGTATTTTTAAATATCATAATTTTTAAGTGGGTAAAATTAAATAAAAATTAAGCAGCGAACATATTCCTCCCGACATTTTATCCAAACATCTTATTTTTATCTTGTACTGCTTGATAAAGACTGCAGATCACATAACAATATTTTAAGAAATTCCGCTAAATTATAAACAAGGAGTATGAAGGTATTTTGACTTTTTGAGCAGTCAGAAAAGTTAAATGTTTGTCTACGTCTATTAAGTTACATGAAGCAAGATTTGCGGCATGGTTTTATCCATGGGTTAAACTTATTTGCATGCATGGCTTAAATTACTTGCACTTTTATGTATGATTTAAATTCTGTGCATGGTTTTATGCATAGAAGTTAAAAATTTATTTTGACTGCATTATTTATGGCTTAAAATTTAATTTTAAGTACGGTACTTTGACTCAGCTGTTACTAATGTGTTAAGAGTAAAGACAAAAATAAGATATGTAAGATTGAAATCATCCTTTGAAAAAATATTTTATTCAGATTAATTTATTACGCATATAATAGGTATTGTCTCTGTTTAGTTAAATTTTGTATTAGTATAGGATTCGTCTATATTTAAACAATACGGAAACAGTTAAGTATTGCTAATT